GTTATCGTGTTTACAGTGGCATTCGTGGCACCACAGTGTGCAGTCAGAGTCGCCCCAAGCGCCCCCCCCCCCGTGATTTTGTGAATGGTCCGCCGTCCGTGCAATCGTGTTATCGCGCCCCGTGGTCCGGTGAGCTCTGGCTCAACACTGGTATCGTGCTCTGTGGCAACGATCTTCTGTCTACAATTTTTGTGGCTGCGTTTTCTCCCTTGGTTTAGTGGTTGGGCAACCATCCATGCTATCGTGTGATCTCATGGTGTCGCGGTTGGTCTGTCGTCCGTGTTTTTTCTAACTACCGTAATGTCGCGCTCTATGGATCGGTGATCCGGTTCTACCCTTATATCGTGCTCCAACGCTCGGTTTTCTTCAGGTAATGGTCTCCCGCGGCTTCATGTTGGGTCCGTCGACCGTGCTCCATGCTGTACCGTGGTGTTATTGGAAAATTGGTTTTGTGCACTTTGACCGGTACGTGTTCTACCGTGGATTCGAACGTGCATGCTCTTCCATAGCGCGTGCTTTTCAGCATGCTGAGGTGTCAATATTTCAATTTCCTTTCTTGGTACGTATACTCCCGCCATGTTCTTGTTGTACCAACTTTTATGGCTGCGTGCTCTTCCGTGGTTTATCCTTTCCAGAATAAATCGTGGCTTTCGTGGATTTTGTTGTTTTCGTGCCCAGCCGTGCTTTTTCCGCATCCATTTTTCAGCATATCCATAGTCTAATTTAATATCCTTTCGGGCTTACTACTCATACATGGTTTCGTGTTCTTCAGTGATTCCGCGTCAATTTGATCACCTAGTGCGTGATGTACGCGGCGTAACGTGCTGGAAAGTGCGCATATTATTTGAGATTCAAACATTACGCGCGCGAATACGAACCGATTATTATAACTAACGGAAGACGTTCTATTATATGCGGCAGCGGAATGATGTGTGTTAGTATAGGGAAGCCACTATAACAAAGGTTTTGGAATCAATAATAAAATTGGATATCTAACGAAATGCAATAGTTATATGTTTTACTACTACCTTGCCACACCAAAGTCCGGGGTGTGCCTTATGTTCGGCACAGCCATGTTGTTCGTGGTGAGAACTGCGAGCGACACCCCGGTGCGCGAGTTCATCGAAACCAAACGTTCAGGTCCGTTGAGGACCATTGGTACTTTCTTCACCGCACCAAAGGCTAGTCCACCAAGGACCAACCCACGACCGCCTCTCTAACATAGAGTGCAGT